AAAGGCTGGAGGAGTTGTTGTGAAAACACAAAGATGAGGCCTTCCTCCGTCACTTAGCTCGAGGCGTGTCTGCTGCAGGGATGGCATTCCTCAACCAGGAAAAACCTGTCTGCATGTAATGCACAGACACACAACAGGCTGCACAGAATGCACGATCCACCTGACACAACCGGTTCCTGGAGAAAGGACTGTACCTAATGCTTTTCAAGTGACGTTAGGATGAGTCAAGCTGTCAGGATGGAGACGGAGAAGGAGAGAGAAGGGGCTCAGAGTGACAGTTTCCAATCGGAGGATGAGTAAATGTGGAGGAAATGGAAACCAGAATCAATGCGTAATGACCAGAGCGAGCTGTCAAGTGGGACAGAAGGAAGCGTAAATGGATAAACTTAAAACTAACGTCAAACTTCTGGGATTAAATAAGTTTACCCTCCAGCCTGTGGGTGATAAAGGCTCTGTGGTATACATTTAGACTCAACCCTAATGTGGACCCGGTGTAAACATCACTCACCATCCTCTGTCCTCACTGGGCTGCTGCTCCGTCCGTCTGCCCTCGATCCAGTCTCTGCGCGAACCTCCCTGAAGTTCACACTGCTGCTTAAAAAAACAACAACAACAAAAACAAAAGTCTACTAGTTTAACCTAAAGCCAGAGGAACAAAAATCCAAGTTGACAGCAGATATTCCGGGACAGCATGGATGCGGCTCCTCAGCGGCGTCCTCCGTCCATTGTGCGCCAGACAGCAGACAGTGACAGCAGCCGAGCCGAGCTCCAACTGCGGGCTGGATGGAGACTCTCGGAGGGAGCGCTGCCCTCAAAAGTCGACTCTACAACACAACACAGGAAACCGAGGCCACGGAAGGCTCCAATCAAAGGAGGCTGAACGAGGACTGCGCTTAAATATTCATTAGGTGCTGGGAGAGACGCTACTGGGCATGCGCGAACTCGGAACTTCCTAACAACAGAAGACAAACACAAGAATGATCTCGGTTCACTCAGGAAGAGCTTCGGATGAAAGCGCCAAGACATCCTAAAAATGTGCTCTCATTTAGTCCTCAAAATGTGAAGTAAAAGAACCACAGTGTAGGAATAGTTTTAAAACTCATGCTTTCAAACTTTTACTTTGGTAAAAGTACAACAAAGGAAACAAAAAGCAAAATAAAAGCATCCCATTTGTCATGCTATTTTATTTATTTAAAAATCAAGCATATTATTTGACTGTAATTAGCCCTCTGATGCATTCATGTGTGTTTTCTGAAAATCTACAAAAATGGAGTTATCTGTTTTTGCAAATGAAATCTTCATATATATTATTTTTAAGAGGTGACAACAATTACATCATCTGATAATAATGCAGCTCCAAAATGTAAATAAATGGAAAAACACCTGTGAATCACACACTACAGACATTTTCCCTTAATCTATACAGTCCTGCAGCTGCTAACAGATAGATATTTCTATCTTGTGAACCTTTTTTTATATATAATATGTCATTATTTATTTGTTGGTTAGATTTTGCATTTAAATCAGCAAAGTCACCAGTAGCTTAAACGATCAAATGAATGCAGTGGAGTAAAATAACGTGGAATTATTAAAGTAGAAGAAATTTAAAGTTGCACAGTAATTGAATTAACTTGTTTTTCATCGCTGTGCATTACAAAACCAAACTCTAATACTGTGTCATTTAACAGTACATTTCTCTTAATGCACATTAAATTTAACCTGTTCCTGTTTTTATCTTTTTTTTCAGCTTTAGAGTTTTAGGTCAAGTTACACAGTGACAAATGTGAATTATGTTGTAACTCCATACAATATATAATAACAAGTTGATGTACATTTGTTGAAGGGCAATATTACAAGGCCTTTTCCTTTTCAGTGTTAAATGTTAGCAATGTTAAATAATTATTTAAACTTCACACATGGATAATATGGCCAGAGGGGTGCCTGAGTTCTGAGTTTACATGATCAATTATTAAACAGCTTCTCTCTCCAAATTCATGCAAAAATCAGTCCCATGTCTTCTTTAGATGAACAAAATGCAACTGAAGGGAAACCCGTTGTGAAGTGTTTGGGTGGCACTGCTGTCCACCTCTCACAGCCCGTCTCCAGCCAGACTTGAGGCTTTCCTTGAAGTGATGTCGAGCGGTGAGGCGAGTCTATGGGTGTAACCCGTCTAACAGGCTGCCTCTGTATACATACTCATAATTTGTGTACGTGTGTCGTCGTCATATTTAAGTCTTATTTTTAAACATAATTCTAGCGTCTGAGACGAATGTGAAGAACATTGTGAATTTCCCACAGCTACAGACTGAAAGACTGCAGAATTTTGAATATTAACATTTGTCAAGAGACTGTCGGAGGGGGAGAAAAAAAAGTGTTTTCAGATGTATTGATGGAAGGTGACATCATATATTCAACAGAAGTGATACTAGCAGCTCATCTAATGTATGAATAACAGATAAATAAGTTAGCCATGATTTCCAGAGCTGTGATGTCTTTGGTGTGGTGTTTTGTCGCCACCCTGTGGACACTGAAGGCAAATATTAGGAAGAAACTTAACAATACTGGACAGAATATTGTTGATTTTGAGCTAAATTCACAGTGCAGCATTTGTCAAGACAATTTTAAAAACCTATATGTAACCGTAGTAGGTTTCCATTTAATTTTCAGTCTTTGTTATGTCCTTTAATTGCCGTTACTGCACAGGTGGAGCAGAGTGAACAGACCACAAACAGAATCTCCAGTCAGTATACTTCCCGTTAATGGATGGTTTATTGGATGATGTGCAAGAAATGATAATACAGCGGGTTTCCCGTGGTGACTGTGGTCTGACGCTGGTCTTGGTTGTCCCCTTACCTGTGCCCTCCTCTTCCTGTCACCTGTGCCCTCTACATATACACCCTGTGTCCAGTTACCACCACCATGTGTCCAGATAATCCATATTATGTTACCTGCTGACAATAAACATAAATGACTCCTACAGTCTTCATATCTGTTTTCAGCAGATGTAAACACATAAAGGGCAACTCCGGCACGTAAAATGATGCTTTGTCTGGATGTTTACTTGGGAATGAATATGGTATGCAAATGTTTCTGGTTATGAATGTTGGACTTCCATGTGTGTTTTTTTGTATTCTTTATTTTAATAAATATATCTGTATATCTCTTTTTTATTTGTTTATGTCAGACAAATTTGGCAGAAATTTGAAATGCAAAATTTGGGATCTGGTTAAAGAGACATTAGCAGAGTGTGCATCTTTTTCCATTTAGTCTGTTGTCCCTAAGCAGTACGAACCGTATTCTTTCAGAACCTTCATTCCATTCCCCATCTGTCCACCGAGTACCCTCCTCTGCCCGTCACCTGTCGCTGCCCTCATACATGTTTCTGATCACCTGTATACGGCAACCACTTTCTTTTCTGCCTGATATTTGACTGCCTTGAAATTGATGACAGGAAGTCTGGCTTTAAACCAAGAATATTACTCATGTTCAACGTCATCATGAAACGGCTTTTTGGTGAATAATCTTTCAGTGATGTTGAAGCAACGCCTAAACTGGTTATACATATATTCTTGCTTGATGACTTAATGCCAATACTTTTGCTGTTTTAATTTCTGCAAAAAATTGTTTTCCAAAAGACTATTTAACATCATCCAGTACACAGAATCTGTATAGTAAGTGAGCTTTTGTTGGGAGGTAAACATAAAAAATACTGCCCTGAATATCAGCACAATACACTCAGAAAAACAAACGTGTGAGAAGTCATAGAAGAACCATTTTTAGTTCCACAAAGAACCTTTTTGGCATGAAATTCTTTAAACAATCATTTCTTTAAATTACTCTTAAAAGAGCCCCAAAATGTGTGTTGAAGGACCATCATATGGCTCCTTTGGGCACTATAAATGGTGCTCCTAAGAAGTTTAGCAAAAACAGGTATTTTCAACAACCAATTTGAAGATAGTTTTCATTTTTAATTTAATATTTATGATGTAGTTTATCTTATTTTATTGTATTTTTGATGTCTTTATATTAAATACTCAGTGAGCTTTTGACAGGCCTGGACAAAAATGATGGAACTCTTAGAAAAGCCTGAGGCTGTTTCATGAGTTTAATTTTTTAAAATAATTTCGTTAAACCACGGTTCAAAAGCAATGTCTGATTTTCATTGGTTAATATTCATAGAATTTTTATTTATTATTACTTTTGTCCAATTCAAGTTATTTCTGTGACCGTTGTGGGTTTTTCTTTAATTATCCGATGGGTACCAACTATTTTGTCCACGTGTGTATTCGATACACCTTTGTATTTTATATACTCAGCTATATTTACCTATAACTACACTGATCATATTATACAGCATATTATTATTATTATTGTTGTTGTTATTGTTATTTACATTGGTATTACTATTATTATTATTATAATACTGTTATTACTACTAATATTACACCATGCTGCTGTTCTATTAACAGTTTGTTTCCTTCATTTCCTTGTCTATTGCTTTTTTTTATTAACTGATGTGTCTCTGTCTGTGTGGTGCTGTTTCTAGAGCAAAGGGATCAATAAAGTTTTATCTAATCTAATTTAATGTAATCTAATCTAAGTAGATAAATAAAATAAAATACACACCAGCTATGAAGCTTTATTATGTAATTCCCACAATTATATTTTGTGAAATAAAGTTAAGCTTGTGTAAGAAAAAAAAAAAAAAAGGAAGAAAAAAACAAGGACGTACGGTCATAAGCTTTTAGTCCTACCAAGGCCTCATGGGAGTTGTAGTCCATGGGTGGTGCACTTGGTGAACGTTGACAAAATATATCTTTAAATGACACCGTTTTCAGTATTTACCATCACAAAGTGGTAGCAGAGATCCAGTTGGCCTAGAATATGGGTAGAATCCTTCAGCGATCGGTGTCGTTTTTTTTTTTTTTAATAAAGTCTGATGTCTCGGTGCAGAATTACGGCCGAGCAGCGGAGCCCGGAAGCAGGGCGGGACCTCGGCTCTTTATAAACATGGCCGTTAAGTCGTTTACGGCGTCAGGTACTGCGTTTGGCTGAATTAGTTAAGACTTTGAGGAAGTCACTGAGGGCGACTTAAACAGTAACAGGTGGAAAGAAAATGTAGACGCACAACCGGCGCCTCTAGTTTTTTTTTTGTCTTCGTACTTTTATCTCTGCGTTTCAACTTCATGTAGTACTTTATGCTAGCTAGCTAACCGAGCTAACGCCGACGTCTCAACGCTAACTTCTGTCAACTTTTTTTTTTTTTTTTCCTCCACCAGCTAGCATAATCTGCTCCTCGAAATGGAGGAGTGCCGTCGCTCGCCCAGGCAGTCTCGATGAATATTTTACACACTTGGATTTACTAAGCTAAGGGCTCGTCTACATTTTCTTGAAGGCTTCCTTTCGGATTTTTTTTTTTTGTTTTTTCCTTCTTTTTTTTTTTCCACTGGCAGCAGTCAAGCGCTCGCCAGGCGCCCCGTTCAGGAACATCTTCGAGAGGGGAGGACGTAAACAATGTTTTCTGTCAAACCCATGAAACCAACCTTCAAGTGTTACCTTCCTCCTGTGCAGGTCTGTATGTGTTTGCTGACGCTAGATATAATGGCAGGAGTGGACTTTTTTGACGGTGGTCGGTCTGTCACTGTCGCAGCCCTGCTCACCACAACATGCACATTGCTGTTGTTGGATTCACCAAAAAAGCACTTTACATTGAAAGAATAGGTGCAGCTTCGCCAGTAAATGAAGAAGCTATTCGTCAGATTACATTTGCTTTTAATTTGCATAGTCAGTGACAGGTGAAATGTCACTGCTGGGAGGGAAAAAACAAACATTTCACTTCCACTCCTGCACAGTTTTGTGCAATGAAACCTGAATATGTTTAATTACTGTGTAACCACGTGGAAAAAAAGAACTTATTACCCAACTTTGACATCCATTTGCATTGTTTTGCCTGCAGGTGTATGCACTTCTCCAGACAAAGAGGGAAAGGGTTTGCTCTCAGGCACTGGTGTGGCAACCCAAATAAAACCGATTTCTGTCTGTCAGTGAACCAAACTAGTGTTGGAAGGCATCTTGAAAACACATTTTTCCATTGATGATTGCTTAAAATCATCATATTATCATGGGCATGCTTTGGTCCTAGTGATAACTCAACTGCAAATAAAAGGAAAAAAACAGATACCGATGGCAAATGTACATTTTATTTCCACACCACATGCAGATCAAGTGTTGCAATGACTTCACATTTAGGAGAATATTAACGATGACCCACATGAAGAAAAGAGACGTGGACAAGACATACAGTGAACCATGACACTGCTCAGTCAGTGGCATTCCTTCATTATAGTTAATAAATGATGCTCTGACCAGTTAGTTTTTGCAGCATTTTGGCTCTATTCTCTTGTACATTCAACTTTAAATGAAACAGTAAACTTCTAGCTTCACCTAAAGGATATATAGAGAGATTTTTTTTGTATGTAACACCTTGTATAACAAAAGGCTGTGATTCCCAGCACTATAACCTCATAGTCATTCATTTACTTTAACCTACTGATATACTGTTACACTATCAGGCGAGTGTGCGCTGTATCAGCGTATACAATATTAATAGCAGTAGATGACTGCTGTGTGTGCTTGGTACCAAATTTAGTCAGCAGAGCTTGTGCTAGCCTTCCTGTTGCATACTGCGTGTTGTATGTTAATGACATTATTATTCCTATAAACTACCAAAACAAGTCAAAGCAGCTAATGTTCAGCATGTTTGTAAAGCACCTATTGTAGGTGTGATGGAAATTTACAAGCCCTATAACAAGTCTTTTTTATTGGTTTTACACTTCTAAACGATTTATAGTACATTTTATTCTTTGTTTACAACACAGTGGCTCATTTGTTTGGTCATTTGTGCCATTTATCATTAACTATCTCATGAGCTGATGTGGCATTTATGCTTTTTTTCCCCCCCTTCTAGACTGATGTGAAGAAAAATATCGAACCACCGATTAAAAAGTTGGAGCCAAAGTTACTTCCAGGTAAGTTTGTTTTCTTTATCATCCTGAAAGTAGTTGGCTCTGAAAAAAGCTTTTAACTAAACCGTCTCCTTGATCTAAGACGGGCTTGGATTTATTGGTATTTTATTGAGACGTTTAGGTTTTCACCGGTTTATTCTGTATTTTATCCATCCCCTGTGCTGAGCAGGAACATGAGAGAGTACGCAGCAGACTTTGGCCTGTTTGTCATTAACTAAAAAGCAGCGTCTTCAGCTTGGTTCCAGACTTTCTTAATCAACTCCCACATCTCCATTTTGCTTTCACTGATTCTAATGACTATTGCCATCCAAAAAAAAGAAGGATGACATAAGGTCCAATGATCAGGGTAACTTATAGCTAATAGGTTACTTCGTCTGCAGATAATGAGATGGTAAAGTCCATCTTAAAGCTAAACTGCAGAAAGGTGTGAGTAGTGGTAATGGCTTTCCGACACAGTGGGGTGTGGCTGACAGTAATCGAGCTAAAATTCAGATTTCTGGCGCGACTGTGGGGTTTCAGTTTGTCAACCCCAGCAGTGGGCCGTGAGAGTGTTTCATGGTGAAGTGAACGTTACTTCCTTTTGTCCTGTTTGCGGCGCTGAGTCAGTGCTGCGTTTCCTTACGCTGCTACATGCAGTCTCTGTGCTTTCCCATGACAGAGGAAGAGAGGATGATGCCCATTTAAAGGACACGAATAATTTCCGGTTATTGTCATTGTTTTACCGGCAGGGTTTTATCAGACTGGTCTAACAAGCATTTCAGCTGACATGCACCGGTCTGACACAATGGCAGCTATTAAAAGGACTGTCCTAAATGTTGTGTGTTAGCTGAGGAGCTACTGTGGACATCCTGTGCTGCCTTAAATCTCGCTGTGTTTTTTAAAAAAGAAGCAAGAATATTGCTCAGTGACAGTGCTGCCTCTCTGTTGTTTTCTGGGAGTTTATGTAAAGCACTCTGTAAGTTTTGGGGCTTGAGGTATTGGCACCCTCTGACAGACGAGCAAATGGATTATCATGCAAAAATAATAGCGAATAAGTGTTTTGTATCACAATATATAATTAAACACGAGGAATTACTGCTTCTCAGCAGCACAGACGGATGGACGTTTTTAAATGGTTCAATAAATTGGTGGAAAACATCTTTTTTAAATTACAGCGAGAATTAACAGACAGTAATTGCTTTTCAGTGCTCTTGTCATCTTTGGTACAGTAGTTGTCTTTGCTGTTAAGAGTGAGAACACAGAAGCATCACCCTCCCTGTGAAACATCGCGCTCATGGCATCAGATAAGCGCTCATTGCAGCACACTTCCTCTCTACGGCCACAGCTTCCACCTCCATCAGATAAGGCAAACAAATGCAATTGTTAAAGTTGAAGGTGTGAAATTCTAATTTGCTGAAGTCGTGCCAACTGCTGCATATTATATAATAATTATCTATCTCCGATAACCGGAGCCGCAGTAAAGCCTCCGCTTCGATGATTTATTCTAAGTGTGAGCTTGTGATTCTGTCTCGACACACCCTTTGCATAGTTTGTATGTTTTCGGAGTAAGAATTCAGCGAGTCCCCCTCTTCAAGTGAAAACTCTTCTTGAGGCATAGAAACATTTTAGTTTCACGTGTTTTAAGGTTCTTCTGAGCCCCGCTTACAACAGTTCTTCATTTGCAAACAAACTGCAAAGGTCACATAGTTTTAATAGACCTGCTATATATGTTAGCATGTGAGGGTATCACCGCGTACGGGTGAATTTGTGCTTCTTTCTCGTCCTGATTTGTGAGCCAGACGAACAGGTTTCATGATCAGCTTCCTTATTTTTAACTGTGCAGTCTCGCTTGGCTCCGCCGAGGCAGAGCTTTGAAGTGACTGTCTGCAGGACTCCACCCTGCTGCCCCAGTTCTCATCTTTTAAAAATTTGTGGGGCAACTTTTTATAGCCGGAGTCTTTTCTACGCCTTAATCGTTTTGCGATCATGTGAAGGGGCAAAGGTCAAGTTACTCATAAAAGATAATATATAAAGAGTTGCCTCGTTAGACCAAAGCCGAAGTAAACACTGTAATGTGACTTGCATGTGGCAGAACTAAAGGGGCTTACCGCTTCGCTTTTATTTACAGATGTTACTTTGGACGGACGTTTTGGCTTTTAGCTTCAGCTTTCTCAGGCTGTGCTGCATTTGGTTTTGAAGCACATTGATTCCAAGCATTTGCAATATGTGTGAGTGACATCAGGTTCCTGTTTGGTTGTAAACCCGCTGAAAGACCGTAAAGAAACTCACACAGTGCCTGCTGTGCTTGAAGAGAATCACAAAACGTTATGTTACTTGCAAAGATTAATACATAAATACTATGTAGGAAGCTTATGAAGCGATCATGCTCGCTGTCGTGTGGAGTCACCCCCATCCCAAAGCTTCAGTCTGAGCCAGGAAAAACCCGGGTGTCTGTTGTTTACTTTCCTGTCCACTAACAGGGAAATGGAAATGTTAATAAAAGAAGCAAAAAAAGAGTTTCATACATGGGGAATTGAAACAAGTTGAACTTGTTTAATATTAAAACTGGTTTTGATGTCACTGTGAGGGAGGCATGTGGAGACTTGGTTTATTTTCACCCTCGTCATTCTAATAAAATAAGAAGCTTTTCACTGACAGTCTTGTCTACACAGCACTTTTTTGGCGAAGGTCATAGGACTCACAAGCATAACATATATAAATGTTCTTAGAGCATTATTTTTAGTTATTTGCATCAGTCTGGTGGTAAACCTGGTGGACTGTTGCTATTCTCATCCAACATTGTTGTCCAGACTAAGGCCTCGTCCACATGTAGCAGGGTGTCTCGCAAAACGAAGACATGTTTCTACGATTCGGCCAGTCGTCCACACGAAAGATTTACAGCATTAAAAAAGATTCTTTCAAAAACCTCCGACCAAAGTGAAGATTTGCGAATCCTCTGTTTATGCGTCTGTACGTGGACGTCAATAACCGGGTTTTAGGTTTCACTGCCTACGACAAAATATGTTCTTACGTCACATATGCGACCTGTGTTTACGTTTGGAAACAGCGTGGACGCCCTCAAAACCGTGTTGGCGACGTCTCTTGTCCAGGCGCCTTTTGCTTGCTTGTTTTTACAAACCCACAAGAACACAGGCGAAGGACGTCGTTGAGAGACGCAAGCTTACTCTGATTGGATAGGATTTGGGGAACTACTGCCACCTAAAGGTTTGGCATGCTTATGAATGCGGTTAGGTGTGGTTGATTTTTTTTTTTTCTAAAACCGAGGTGTTGTGTTGGGGGGAGGATATTTGGTTTTATAGAAACCCTGCTACGTGTGAACAAGATGCTCATCTTTGCCTTCTACCTTCTGCTGTTTCTTATGCATGTAAATGTAAAAAAAAAGAAAAGAAAGGAAACGGAAAAAGACTGCAAGACAGTGTCACAATTGTGTGATGATACAAGAGATATTCTGTATGCATAGAGAAATGTTGTCAATGAATTTATGTTTTTATTTTATATATTAATGATCCACCAAGTCCTTCAAACAAACATGGATCTAAAGTATGTTTTAATGCAAACCAAATGCAGTTCAGATGTTTACTGTCCCAGTGTTTGTTTCTAGAAACACGACATATTGAAGTATTTGATTCACACTACTTACCCATCATTCTTAAAATATATGCATTAACTAATAATAAAAGCCTTAGTAATATGTTTTGGTGCAGATGTTTTTTAAGTCTCTGGGAAAAAAGTACTACAAATGGCACTTTTCAACATGGTGGCAAAATGCTCCTGAATTATTTTTTATTTTTTGCAATGCAGTAGAAATGCTTGTTTTCTTTACCATACCTTTTAAATCTGTATCCTCTGTTTGCCTCCTTGACGTGTAGCTGTAAGTTTTACACTCAGCCTTTTCCTCGTTTGTCTGTCACCAGGAGAGATCGTAGTTAATGAGGTGAACTTTGTGAGGAAGTGCATCAGCGCTGAAAGCAACCAGGATGACCTCTGGGGGAAGTTGATATGCACTAACTTTAAGGTCTCCTTCATCCCTCAAGAAGCCCCACCCAAGCAGGTATTTGTGTTTGTTTCTTATTTAAACAATATGCTGTTGTTTTATAATGCAATTGGTCTTTTTTAATTATGACACGTCAAGTACGAAAAACTGGACGTCCTCATACATGTCTTAAAACGGCATGAAATAGTAAGAAACTGAAGTTTAGCTTTATATTTGTATTTAATGTCTTTCTGTACCACCAGCGTACTTCTGAATAGTTTAAATACTTTGTGCTTCTCAGCCTTGTTTGCATGTTTGGTGCATCTGGCAAGGAGGAAGGAAAACTTGTGCGCTTTCCTGCACTACATTGTCAGTGATATCGCACAAGAAGTGAAAGAACAGACGTCATTTCCACCGATGTGGCAGATTGTTGACATGATAACAAACTGGGGCTTGATCAGAGGAAGTCAATGTGATATACCAGGCAGCAGTATTTTATAATGAAGTATAGAAAGATGCAGTGTTAACAAAAATACATTTTTGTCTTTTTGCTTTCACCACAGAAGTCCCAGTTGTCACATCTGCTGCTTGGAGAGCACGACATCCCCCTGACCTGTCTGGAGCAGGTCGTAACAGGTACATCCGCTGCTAATGTGTGTTGGGCCCGACCGATGTGGATTTTTTGGGGGCGGTTTTTGTTTTTTGGCTAAAAAATTAATTCTAATAACTGATTAATTACTTAATAACTTAGTAATTAATTACGATTACTTTAAAAATATATATATAATGAATAAAATAGCTTCTTTTTTGGTCCCTTAATGCTCACAACAACAAAGATATGAATCACAGGCAGAACATTTTACTGCTTTACAATACTTTGTCTTTTGTTTAACTTTACAAAATATATATATAATGAATAAAATAGCTTCTTTTTTGGTCCCTTAATGCTCACAACAACAAAGATATGAATCACAGGCAGAACATTTTACTGTTTTACGCTTTGTCCTTTAGTGTTAAACTTTACAACAAAGAGGAATTTTCAAGTACAAAAACATGCAACAAAGCTTTAAACATGAGATGCATCAGTAAAACAAAGTACGTTTTCCAAACAAGTATGTCTGTAATGTGGGGTATTTTATTCTAAATGTGCATTTGTCTTTCTATGGAGCATAAATACAGCTACCAGTTGTGCTGATGAATTTGTCTTTATGTATATAAGCAGCATAATGAGTGAGGTTTCTTTGCCATGAAGTCATGACTCATATGAACCAAAATAAAAACCAGAGACGCCTTTCTCAGATGTCAAAACATGTCGTCTTTGACCGAGTTGCATTTTAAATATATAACCGTCACAAATAGTCCGACACTGATGTTCCTCCATAACAACACACAGTATTGAGTATTTTGAAAAGGGCTATAATTGGTTGGGCCCTAAATGTTTGTAAAGTTTTAGAAAAATTAGATTTTTTTTTCTGCGTAACAGAAAACATTCTGCAGGTTTCATTTTGTTATGACATCATTCACTTGCTCACTTCCTCATGTTGAAATGTTGGTGCCCAAATGTGCATCTCTGTATTCAGCAGAAGCTTAGTGTCCAACTCAGTCAGTAACGGATCGATCAACTGTTTTATAAATGTCCAGCATTCTAACTTTGCCATTTTTACAAGAGTGATCTGTTCTCAGAATTAAATGTGGATGAGCCCAGTCTGCTCCTCATCAATCTTTGACAGCTTGGGTGACTGGTGTCTCTTTTTTTTGCTTTTCCTGGTCAGCAATCTGATAACAAATGATGTCACAGCTAAAGCAGTGTTTAGTGGCAGCGCTGCCTGGCTTAGGATTAGCTGTGTTTATATATCTCATTGCTGTCGATTGCTGACACTGCAAGGGCAACTGCCCAAAGCAAGGTCGTCGTGTTACAGTGATGAAGCCCGAGGTTTTGTTTTACATGGCGCGCGTTTGACCTGTTTGAACCGAGCTTCTAAAGACAACAACAGCAGTGTGGGATCTGCACAAATATCAAGAATGAAATACAGCCCTAGGGCTTGGTAATATTAATATTAATCATTGTGTTTTTTATGTATTCTGCCTCTGTTACTAATGTGAACAGACTGACTACAGAGCTGTGTTATTGATAGAGCGGAGGAGGGGCAGGTCGGTCTCAGGCTCATAATTGGACTTCTGTGTTGACTGAAATTTCATTATCAGGACAATAATTTAATTTCCTCGCTTACTGGCCACAGATATATCGTTCATCCCTGCTTCAAAGAACACAAAACCAATATTTAACTGTGGCAGAGAGCTGTCTTGTAGTGAACATTAATACCTGTTATGTGCTTTAAAATCTAATCTTCCATCTCTAAACGTTTGCTCATTAAAATAATCTGTTCATATTTTGTGTTCAGTGAACGATACGAAGGGGAAGAAGAAAGTGCTGGGCTCGAACCAGAAGCTGAAGTTCAACCCCACTGAGCTCATCCTGTACTGCAAAGACCTGCGCATCATAAGGTTCTGCTTTGATGAAGCGGGGCCCGAGAGTGCAAGAAAGGTGAGTGAAACGGAAACATTGACCCGTTTGCTTTGGTTTTTGTTTCAGTAATTGATTGGCTATGAAGCTTTAAAGTGTGGATGTTGTGCTGAGGTCGGACAACGCTATCAGGAAGTGTGACTGCAGAGAAAAAGGGAAATTGTGAGTGCGTGAATGAACACTGAACAAACAAAAATAAACCGACCACAATTTCAGGATATTAAAGACTGTGGGTGTTGGCATAAAAGATTAATATTGGCTACAGTCACGATAATTCAAACTATTATTTTAGGACACACTTGGAACAATGGTGAAGCTGATGTACATTAAATTCTACACAGCTAGCTTATGCTTTTTTTAATCAGTCATGCCTCCTAACAGGGCTGAACTGGGTCAACTCCTCACAAACCACCCATCTTCACTCTCTGCTGAATATGTAAACTAACCACGCCACTCCCTAAAAACAACAAAGCCAGAGTTAGAGAGAATCAAGGTGGATTAAGAGAGAAAATGTATAAATCCTCTCAAAAAGTGGCATCATAAAATCATACACTTTACTGTGATGAATCCTAAAACAAGCGAAGGCGTCCCGTGTTTGTGTTTGTGTTTGTGGGGGAGAGAGAGACAAAGCAGACGATAAATGAGTGATCAGATGATGAGTGTTTTCAGACGAGGTAGTATTGAATAAACTGTAAACTCACCAAGTCACAAGGATACCTGTAAGCTTCTTGACTGAATCCTTAAAAATCCATCTTGTGTTTCTAACAGAGTGTTGGTGCCGTAACAGATTGATCAGATGACCGTGTTTCTTCTTTGCATAAACTGTAAATTCACACAAAAACTGGCTCCCACACGTTTTTATTTTTTCCCCCAGTTCCTAAAAGGACACTGTTCACACAAAGCCTAATAAATCAATAAACAAAACAACAAATGCTGCCAGCTGACGCACTGTTAATGTTGATGAATGGTGCTTAACAATGCATCGGAGTTCTGTTAAAAGATATTTTTAGCTCACTGTGGAAAATAAAACAGAGCTAGCTTGCTCAGTTGCAGCAAGAAGGTCGCCGGTTCGCGTCCCAGTGGGGGCATCGGGATCTTTCTGTGTGGAGTCTCCATGTTCTCTCCGTGCAGCGTGGGTTCTCTCCGGGTTCTCCAAAAACATGTTGAGGTTAATTGGTGATTGTAAATTGTCCGTAGGTGTGAATGTAAATGTGTCTCTAAGTGTAGCCCTGTGATAGACTGGTTACCTGTCCAGGTGAACCTGCCTTCACCCTGAGTCAGCTGGGATAGACTCCAGCCCCCCACGGCCCTAGTGAGGATTAAGCGCTGTGTAGATGATGGATGGATGGAGAATAGAATAGAAATACTTTATTAATCCCCAAGAGGAAATTTGGTTGTTGCAGCACAAAGATAAAGTTACCACCACCATAAATACAGACAAATAAGCAAAAATAAACAATAAGAAATATGAAATGCAAAATGTGCAGTAAGTGTAATATGTCAAGTAGAAGAAAGACGGTTGTGTCAGCCTACCTAGGTGTGTATATTAACCATTCCCTTTTCTCACTTCTCACTGCCCATTTCACTGTTGGTTTGCTGAGAAAACTTTTCCTTTCCTGACTCTGTGACTTCACTACATGCACACACTGGGTTTCATTGCTATGACCACTTCCTCACTGACAAGGATATTTATATCATACAAGCTGCTATGTGCTGGTCCGTCGCCCTCCATTAGAGCAAAAATGACTAACTTTTCAAAAGGCATGTTCAGTTTAGCCATTAGCCAAACAACGTCGAGGCATCGAGAACAATGCTCATTCACGGCAAAGGAAGCATAATTTGATTGTGATCGTACTGGCAGTGTGACTCTGACTCATCTCTTGCACTGAACGGACAGATGTTTCATTCTCGATACTCGAGCTCAGTTCAGCAGGGTACAAGAAGGCCACGCTGATGAGATGAACTGTGTTGATCTCATAACATATGAAACTGATGAGTTAGGTTTCATAATACATGACGAAGTAGTTTTTATTTTGGGCTGGGATATAGTGACAAATCAAACAGGAAAACATGGAAGTAAAACAGAACGTTCTCATCCTGGCAGACATTTAGAACTTGTGGCTGTTTTGTAGGTATGCTTGACTCTCACCTTCAAACACAGCCATCTAAGAGGAGATGTTGTGTAACATTGTGTAATCTGGAGTTAAAGAAGGCGTGGAAATACGTATTTGTATGTGAATTAGATGCACAAAGCTCCTCAGAAACTTCAGCCTCTCTGCTGCCTCACTTCAGCGACGGGGAGCGGTGTATCTCCACAGCGTGTTAGTAAAATGCAGATGAGTTTAAATGCGCACGTTTGATCTCCTTTCATGTCATCTGGGAGTAATTTCTGTGTAGGTTTTGGAGCACTTGCAGCTCCCCAACACGTACCTACAGCACATTTGGCTAATAGCATGGTACTGTATTAGACAGGGACACGTTTCTGTCTACATATTAATTTAATTCATATAAGAAATTGCAATTGCAGCCTTTTATTTTCTGTACTCTCCTGCATACAGCAGAATATGAGAGGCCGATTATGTATAGAGCACTAAAATAGCATGCGTCTGCCCTCCCTCACTTCTTGTGAGCTTATTTATATACACCATGTATGTAATTACAGTGTGAACCTAAAACAGGGCTCCGTTCTTTTTTCTCTGTGACATATGGAATTATGCCAGCCTATAATAGCTTATTTTGCCATAGGAAATTACAGAGTCGGGAACAGCCTTGTCTACACACACACACACTCTTTTTCTGTGTTCTCTTGTGTTATTCACAGCTTTACTACTGAATGGGCTGCTTTATGTGACTCGAGCGGAGCCACAGAGAGATTCAGTCCCATAAACGCAGAGCAGCAGGCTGTCTGTCAGACATTTGCTCTCGCAGGTTTCACTTGTGTTGCTATGATCTGAGTTCATTTTAGGAGCCGTGGTTGGGGAGCTGAAATGGCTGTGATGAAATCTGATCTGCCTTGATGATGTTCAGCCTTCAGTTGCACCTCTGTTGTACTGTACAGGGGTTGGGCAGGATGTTACAGTTTTAGTCGCCGATGTATTTGCGGAGGTGTTTGACACTATTTG